CACTTTTGGGCATTTACCCAAATGATCCACAACCAAGGTCATACTAAGGCTACCAGCACAACTGTGTTTATCACAGCATTATTTACCATAGCTAAGATGTGGAACCAACCTATATATAGGAATTCTATGCCTCCATTAGATAGAATGACATCGCCCCATTTGTTAGGAAATGGAAAGTCTTGGAAAATTTATATTAAGTGAAATAAGCCAGGCCCAAAGAAACGTAGGGCCCATGACAAGATTTTCAGATAATGTTTCCCTCATGACCCTACGGATTGCTTAGTTTGGTTCAATTTGTCTGAATGGATATGGCACTATACATTGTTTTTCTTTTGGAAAATTGTCTAAGTTCATATTTGGTTTACTATGTAAATATAGGTGTTTTAAAAAACAAGGCACTATATTTTCCTGCTTGCTATTTCCAATGGATTTATATCTTATAAAACTTTACTCATATTTCTTATGGGAAATTTTCTGTACGTGTAAAAATTGACTTTCTTTTTTATGAGAAAATTCATTTGTGCTCAAACTAGATCTCAGTATCATGTGCCATACTTTCACAATTATTGTAAAATTATCTTATATTTGTGACAGATTTTAATTTAAAACTTTCTAGAATTGAAAATGATTCACCAAAGACCAGAATCAATTATTGTTGGCCACATCAAAAAGTGAGAGTGTTCTGTTAAACGAAGCCAAATGCTGGTGGTTCACATCTGTAATCCTAGCTACTCAGGGGGCAGAAATCTGAAGATTCTTATTTGAATTTAGCCATCCAGCCCAAGCATACAAATCCTAGGCACTCCTATCTCCAAATAACTGACAAAAACCTGGAAGTGAAGTTGTGGCTGAAGTGGTAGAATGCCAGAAAAATCTGAGCATGAAGCCTGAACACTGAGTTCAAGCCCCAATGTCAGTGAAAGAGTAAAATAAAAACAAATAATAAAGTCTACTTCACAAAATATTGAAAATTCGTAAGGAATCCCTCCTTTCTCTAGGAACTTCGACATTATTATCCGTGTGCTCAACTGCATATAAAAAGCAAGGAGTTATGGGCTTCTGAGACGCCACCTCTTGCCACTGCTGTTCTCTTCTTAGAGATGACAGAGGCAGCAGTAGAAGATTAAAGGAAAAATATTCCCTTTTTATTTACCTGTCGTTTATGCGTTTGTATAGTTGTTTTTATTATTGTAATACCATCCTGTGATTGTTTTCATCACATGTTTATTTCCACTTTGTCTAAACTTTAAAAAAAATAACTAATTTTGAGTCCCTGCTGCTGGAGCTTGGCGAGAGCACAGCAGGAATGTTTAACAAGTAAGAAAACTGCAACCGAACCAAGATAGTAGAAAGTCCGGGGCTGAGGTGGGGTGGACCCTGGTCTACCAGACCCCGCCTTCCTGGCCGCTATCTTCCTCCTTCCTACTTTTCCTGGCCTGACCGATCCTAGGGCCTGGCTTCCAGATCCCACCTCCAAGTCCCGCCTCTCAAGGCCCCGCCCCAGCCGGTCGCCATGTTGTTCCCTCTGCCCTGGACGGGAACCACTGTAGCTGTAGCGCGGTAGTGCTGCGGCTCTCTTCTACGTGCCGAGGCTCCAGCGGTCTTTCACCTTCATCACACCCAGGTGAGCAAGCCAGTCGCTCCCGGGACGTCTTCCTTGGGGCTGAGAAGTGAGCCAAACTCGAGACTCCCTTCGGGGCCGAGCTTGGAACCCTTGGTGGAGACGAGCGCGGCCCGGGCTTGGGCGGCGGGGCTTTGGGCGCGCTGGGCTAGCGCGGGCCTTCAGCTGCAGGGGGTGGGGCGTGCTTTGTTGACCCGGGGCTCCTTCCCGGGACCTACCGGGCCTTCCCTCCCGCGGAGGAAGAACACACACACGCACACACCAGGCAAAAAAGAGAGAAGGAAAACGCTATTGAAGGGAGATCAAGTCCCAGACGCTTGTGAGGAAGAGGATGGATAAAGACACCCACAGGGACAGCTAATGCAGCGACCTGGTTCTACACCAGCCTATCCTTTAACCACCCTGGGAGGGGACGCATACCTGCACGCTCCAGAACAAACCCTACTCCCGTATGACTAATGCAGGGAAAGCAAACGCGCCCCGGTCCATTTTGGTGACCTCTCACATGCTACCTAGCTGAAAGTTTGCTTAACATCTTGTGACCTGGCCGGTGAAGAGCTTGGAATGTAAAGCCACTTCTAGGGGGATGCAGGCGGTTTAGGGCTGTATCTGATGCAGACACTGGCCAAGGTTTCAAAATTGCATTCCTTTCTTTCTTCCAACTTAGTAAGCAGAAAGGCAAGATGAGAATTTTAAGTGCTGACCAAATGGTTGGTGGAGATATATTTTTAAGTGATGACACATCCCGTGATCATAGTTTTTTGAGGAATAACTTCGCTAAAGTTTCCAAATTGGCACGTGACCACTGATTTTTTTCCCATACGATTTCAGACTCTAAAATCGATAGAATTTAATCTTTTTTTCTTTGAATGTGTTTGTCTTCTCTCTTTCACCACTAGTGGAAAATCCCAACTTGGTCTATAATCTCAGAAGCTGTCTGGGGTGCCAACAGTTGAAAGAAATTCGGAGCTATTTACTTAGGATTTTTTTTTTCCTGGTGCTCAGGACTGAACTTGGGGTCTTGGACTTGAAGTGTTCGTCCACTGAGCCAAATCCCCAACTCTCAGGAACTTTTAAGAAGTCTCCTTTTAGTTTGTCTTTTAGAAGCTCATATTGAAGTTAGTCACTAGTTCTGTAGAACACCTCTTAGAGTTTCATATCTAATTGTGGCGATCTGGTGATTTCAGTAGTTTTGTGTCCATTGTGGTAAAACTCCCTTGCTTATACTAAGAACATTTATAATTTGGGGTTGGTTTATTTTGGAGACTTTCTGTAATATCGGAATTTTTAGTTTATCATTAGATGGAGGGTTACATTAGACTGGCAAAAGCTAAATAAAATAGCCTTTTCTTGGAGAACAGGGAAATATTTCTAACTTCTTTTTTATTTTTTTGCCTTAGCTACTTCCATCCACACTACTGTATTTGGGAAGCCTGAAAGGAAGTTCCTTTGTTCTAGAAAGTAATTTTTTTTTGGTCGGTTGTGGGGCTTGAACTCTGGGCCTAGGCGCTGTCCCTCAGCTCTAGCTCAAGTCCAGCGTTCTACCACTTGAACCACAGCGCCACTTCCAGATTTCTGGAGGTTTTTATTGGAGATAAGAGTCTCATGGACTTTCCTGCCTGGGCTGGCTTTGAACCACCATCCTCATATCTCAGCCTCCTGAGATCTAGCGCCCAGCTAGAAATTAATTTTTTTGTGCCAGTCCTGGGACTTGAACTCAGGACTTGGGCACTGACTCTGAGCTGTTTTGCTCAAGGATAGTGCTCTACCAGTTGAGCCACAGCTCCACTTCCAGCTTTTTGGTGGTTAATTGAAGATGGTATCATGCACTTTGCTGCCAGGACTGGCTTAGAATTGCAATCCTCAGATCTCAGGCTCCTGAATAGCTAGGATTACAGGCGTGAGCCACTGGCACCCAGCTAGAAATTATTTTTTTAGACTTATTTGATTTCTTACCATTTAGCCCTACTTTTCTTAGGATTGCATTAATATAATGTTTTATTCTCATTGAGTTGCTGTGCTAATAGCTCCATTTTACAGATGAGGAATTCGTTAGAAGGCAGGAAGGTTAAGACTTTCCCAAGGTCACACACATGCAGTAAGACAGCAGGTTTTCAAAGCAGGTGATATTAGTTCTAATTCTCAACTAGGGGACAGTTTTGCTCCCTCCCCCACCTGGGGTGGGCCAGGGAGGTGCTGCTGGTCTCTACTACCTTTAGGCCGGAAGGGATAAACATCCCATCGCCTATGAGACTGTCCCTCCTTCCAATGAGTTATTTGGCCTAAAATGTTGCTAAGTATTGGGTTTGAGAAACCAGGGCTCACATTTCAACTGTTTCTGTAGTTCTTCAAGTTTATTGTCATTTTACTAGTTAGGAAAGTAATTTTATTATTATAAAAGCAAACTGGAGAAATTCTCTCCATTAAGAGGCATAATGATTGGAAAGATGGAGTAGTTAGTTGGGTACTGGTGGCTCACATCTGTAATCCTTGAAGACTGGGATCTGAGAATCACAGAAGCCAGCTAGAACATAAAAGTCTCTGAGACACCTTCCTCAAGTTAACCAGCAAAAAGCTGGAAGAGTCTGTGGCTTAAATGGTGGGGCTCCAGCCTTGAGTGGAAAAAGCCAAGGGGCTTTTTCAAGCTCCAATACTAGCACACACACAAAGATGAGAGAGTGAGCGAGCAAGTTTCTGGTAGCTACATCTGAGACGTAATGGGAGCCACCTCTGTGGATTTAGTGGATTCCATTTCCCCATTACCCAATTGTCTACAAACAATTTTTGAGCACCTGATAGAAAGATGCCACAAGAATGGTAGGGTAGAGGGAGCCTCAACCTTCCTGAAGCTTACATTCTAATCACTGTCATCAGGTTTTGACATCATCCAGAATTTATTGCCTGGACTACTCAAGAACAGAGGTCAGGGGTTCATTAAGAAAACAAAACAGGAGCTGGGAATGTGGCCTAGTGGTAGAGTGCTTGCCTAGCATGCATTGAAACCCCAGGTTCGATTCCTCAGTACCACATACACAGAAAAAGCCAGAAGTGGCACTATGGCTCAAGTGGTAGAGTGCTAGCCTTGAGCTGAAGAGCTCAGGGACAGTGCCCAGGCCTAGAGTTCAAGCCCTCCCCCCCCAAAGAAAACAAAACACCTCTACACCTAGCACAGACTTGAAATTTACTGTGGGCAGACTAAGGTGAAATGGGGAAAAGTTGATAGATTCTTCATAACTTCGTACAGTTGACCCTTTGTGACCATTTACAAAAACCAAATACAGAAAAAAGCCTTTTTTGGTGCTGGTCCTGGGGCTTGATGTTTTGGAGATAAGAGTCTCATGGACTTTCTTGCCTGGGCTGGCTTCAAACCACCATCCTCAGATCTCAGGCCTCCTGAGTAGCTTGGATTATAGTCATGAGCTATCAGTGTGCCTGACCTTATTTTTCTTTTTTCTTTTTTTAGACAGGATCTTCATTTGCAATCTTCCTAACTCAAGAATCTATTCTAGTTGAGCATACAATTCTTCATTAAATTTAGCTTCAGTAGAAAATACATATGCATGTATTGTATCTTTGAAATCAAGAAAAAAAATAAATGATGCAATTTTAAAAATAGCTTTTACATAATTTTCTTTTTGGTGTCTTCCAGCCTGTTTATTCCATGCCTAAGACCAGGCAGGCATTTGAAAAAAAAATGTACCGCTTCATTCGGATGCCAGTTATAACTGTTAGGTAAACTTCAGGAGTGGTTGGTTGAGAGAAATCGAAAAGGTTGGCTCTCTTTAGACATTCATTCCTGGGAAGTGTAACTCAAGTAGTTAATAGAGCCTCTTTTGATGGTAGCTTTAGTTTTCAACTCAAGCCCAGTATCTTCTTTGCTAAGAGGGAATTTATCTGCCTCTTTGTAAAAAAATATTTTTTGTCAGTTGTGGGGCTTGAACTCTGGACCTGGACACTGTCCCTCAGCCCTTCAGCTTAAGGTGAGCACTCTACCACTTGAGCCACAGTGTCACTTCCGGTTTTCTGGTGGTTAATTGGAGATAAGAGTCTCTTGGACTTTCCTGCCTGGGCTGGCTTTGTACCACCATCCTCAAATCTCAGCCTCCTGAGTAACTAGGATGATAGGCGTGAGCCACCAGTGCCCAGCTCTCTGCCTCTTATCAGTTTTCCACTATGATGAGTAGGAGTGAGTATGCTGAATTACACACCTGGAAAGGATTGTTGTCACATGGGACCTAACAAAAAGCATATGTTTTATGTGGGAAAGGTCAAGAGGAATTGATGCCAGAGGACTCTTGCTCAATCTTTAGTTGTTTTGCTGCTTTGGCCAAGTTAGATCACCACATTTCTTTCTTTGTAAAATGAGAAGATGGTTGTATATCATAGTCTCAATAAGAGTTTTGGCACCAAATAGGAACAGTAAATTTTGTCCCTCACAATTTGTTGGTTAAGCAGCAAGGGGAAATCAGCATATTAGGGGCGGATGTTTGGGCAATGCGTCAAACCTGAAAGCTATGTAGATAATAAATTTGTTAGTCAAAACCTAGCCTAAGAAAATAGAGCTTGTGACTAAGTAGGTCATACAGAGACAATTTATTAAGGATTTTGCAGAGAGGGGTGGAAGTGAACTCACCAAGGGAAAAAAAAAACACCTCTGTGAGTTTGGTGGGAAGTTGGGCTAATAGAAGGCCTTGATAGCTGAGGATGGAGACCAAGGAACCACCTCCATGTGTAGATAGAGGGATAGAGAGGCCAGATTTACAGCTGTCCAGGAGCTTAAGTTTGCCTGGGCTGGTGAGATAATTTGGAGGGAAAATCTGTTTCCCAGTGTGACTCTTGATGTTGTATATGTTGTAAAGTCATGATCTGGTATTTCCACATTCTGGATTTTTCCATTTTTGTTAATTTTTGACCATGGGGAGTTGGGGCTTAAATGTTGCTTATCATGAACATAGAAAGGACGGCCAGATGTGGTTAATACTAGTAAGGTAACAGCTCCGTCT